TGCCTAGTGGTGATTGTATCTAGGGATAGAGCTTGACCCATTAGTAGTCTTAAACCCTAGCCCGTAATGCGGGTGTAGATATTGGGTACTCAAGGGATTGATATTCAATATCCGCACCTAGGCTCTTTCTCTAAGGGATTAGGTTTGAGTAAACTCTTGGGTTGACTAAGCAATGAATTCAACAAGAGATTAAGGATACATTAGTGTTACGTTTGGTGAAATCTGACCCCCACAACCTCACAATACCACAATACCATTCCTTACCTTTTCCACTCACAAAACAATATTTATTTACAGCTTTCATTCCAATAGTCACAACTTTGAATTCACTGCACAAACTATGAAATTGGAATTATTCTTTAGTCACGAATAGTCAATAAATGCTTATATTACCTTCTAATCCCTGTGGATACGATATTTTTACTACTTGAACGACCGGTATACTTGCCGTGTTTGAGACCGTTGATAGAATTAAACGAATTTACAAATATTAACAAAAGTGTTTCAACGGAAATCTCAACAATATTTTCATTTGTTATTTAACCTGTATCAAATTTCTTTTATAATTTGTTTCCATTGAAACAATTTAACCTATATCAAATTTCTTTTATAATTTATTTCCATCGAAACATCTCCTATATAGATTACTACTAATTATATATAAAGTTCAATTTAAAATAATTGCACATTTCCATTTGTTATTTAGCTTGCATCAAATTATTTTATTTTATTTTTTAAATAAAAATAATTATACATTAGTCAAAGAATCACATAATATTAATAAATCATTAGTTTGAGTGGTATTGAATTTAGGTTCAAATATTTTGTATGGAAAAACAAAGGTGATAGTACATTGTACCAATAACATAATTAAAAAAAATACATAATGCCTTTTTTTTTTCTAATATATATGGATAATATATATTTATAACATAAGTAATCTAATCGTCTTCCAAGACTAACCCAACACATCATTAGGTCTAAAATAAATTTTAAAGTGAGTTTTTTAAAATTAATAATAAGTCCTTTAATAAATAATTAGAGATAAACATTTTAGAGAGTTTTTAAGAATACAAAATGTTATTTTTGAATTATAGGTCTTGAAAAAAATTATATAAATATTAATACAAAATAATTTTTTAAGGATCCAAAGTAAGGACTTTATTTACCTCATGCTTTATAACGACGTGGCAGATCGCTACACTAATTAGGGTTTATCTACTACGCAACAAAAATATCATTTATCTAGTGTGATCATGCAACAACTATATAAGCAACATGTAAACCATATTTGTATAGGGTAGAAGGATAAACTCCTGAAAACAAAAATCCTCACCCTATACAAATATAAATATATTATACAATTACATAGTTGTATACAAGATAGACCCTACGTTGCTGATCAACACCTACATATAGCCTGATTACATCATAGTAGCCATCAACAAAACATAGTTACCATCAACGTGACTCACCATCGATTACACAAGTCATCCCATTAATCTAGTCCTGCTCTCATGAAGAATCATAATCATTACAGTTTCATCCACAAGGAAAACACAAGGTAAGTTTATGAAAATAATTATCATATAATCATAACTAAGTATCTTTCAATGATAAAACATAATCAATTCATCACTATTAAAAACACCTCAACATGTGTCAACTAACAATTCATCAATAACACAATTACATCACAACAACATATCTTGCAACATCACAATAATACTAGCACAAACAACTTTGAACAACTAATGTGTCATCACATATCAATTATGAAGATCTTTAACAATATAGGATGAATAATTTAAGTGACTAAACACTACTGAACCACAAAATGTGACCTATCTCAACCAAATCAGGTAACAACCCAATTTAATTTCTCAGGTTTGCCACTTAAACAATGAAATTTAATACCATTACCAGGGTAGAACAATTTAAGTATGAGTCTATCACGACATTAGCTTGCATCACTAAGTCACATATGGGATTGATCTATTAATTATCCTCCAAGTATTATGCTCCTCCAATACTAGGAGGAACTAAGTCTCTAACTTTATACTTTACTTAATTGATCATTTTATAAACGTATGTCTCAACTTTGCTCACATACGAATACTACATAAATCCTATAGGAGATAACATACAACTTACCATTTGGTAATCAACTTACATATAGAAGGTTTTTCAACACTTGGGCTCTTGGAGCACCACATCTCATATCCGCAAAATGGGATACTTAGTTTTCAAAGTCATCACTTACTTTCCTTTAGTTTTTATATATCTTAATTAGGACATGTATCTCAATCACATGCCCAACAACTTAACAACTTAAACATCATACATCTTTACAACATGATCAACTTTAATAGAACAACAACTACAATTAGGTTATTCCACTTAAAACAACTCACAATTTTACAACATGTTAAACTTACAACACACACACACACATATATATCATCTTACATCATCACTCATACAACATTCATCATCAATCAATTATAAACAACTTTAAACTACTTTTCATCATGCAACTCATGCCTAATGCCACTAAAAAGATGTCTCACGCCATTAAGGCAAAGGCTCCTTGTTTCACAGATGTCAGACACCAAAGTACTTATGCACAACATGGCTATGGCAGAGAGTCTCTAACTCTCTCATGCCTGGCGTCAAGTAAAAGACCTCTACATGGCTCATGCTCAATGCCACACATTAGAGTCTGACATGAATCTAGTAGAGACGAGTCTCTCTCCTCATGCTCGATGTTGTTCAACCTATGCTCGAGGTGATTCCAACACAAGACAATTGTCTTTCCTCATGCTAGGTGCCATTGATTTTACACCTGGTGTGAGTAAGACAAAGACCCCCTCTTTAGAGTCACGCCCGATGTCTTAAAGGTACATCCAACACGACATCAGTTTCCACACTGATGCAAAAATTGATTTCATCAAATCTACTTGAAATCCAACAATCCCAACAACATGCATATGAAATACACCACATTTGCATCATATAAATTTATGAAACAACACCAAAAACAACATGCAATTAAGAATTGAGAAGAATCATTTACTCTCCATGAGCGATTCCTAAAACATCTCAACTTCACAATTCATCGCACATCAACATTAGCTATATGAATCAAGTGATTCTAATCAACACAAGTCATCCCACAACAAAAATCTTCCAACCACCAAGCTTCCATTCCCCTTTGAAGAACCGTATCAAGAAGAGAAAAAGAAGAGCTATTTCGTATGACTTTGACTCCACAACCTTTGATTCTCTACTCCATAAGCTCAAAACCAAATCTTTCACATTTTACTAAGCTACAAGAAGAAAGAAAGATTACTTAGAGAAGAAGGAGAAGTTGGGGCCTCTAGAGAAACCCTCACTAACCTCTCTCTAAAATCCTTGAAATTAAGTTATGAGGCCCAAACTTTAGAAAATCCTTTTATACACTTTTGAACTAACTTCACTTATCTATAGTTCAACTATTCAGAGACCCACTTACTCTCAGGATCCCCTTGATGTAGAATTCTCAACAGCAATTGACATCTAAACAACAAAAATTCATATAATTAATAAAAAAAATCCTAAAATCAACAATGTTATATAATTGACCTTACTCTATCTTTTTCCAATGATTTTATTCTCGAACTTATACAGAGAATAAATCCATTTTGAAGAACTTAATTTTTTTTATTTAGGAAAAATATTTAGTATTTTTTTATTTATAAAAATCAAAATCAATAATAAAGTTTATAGTAGTTCATTGCTTAATTAATCAAGCTAAATTGTCTGGTCTTTAATTAATTCTTATGAAATAATATTCATTATAGTTTCTTTAATATAAGATTATAGTTTAAAAAATTTCAAATAAACACCTTTTGAAAAAATAAAAATAATAATTTATTCTTTAAATTTTGAAGGAAACATATTCAATTCATATATAATTTTGAAAACTAACTTGAATATATATCTGTTATAACGTATATTATTTTAATGTGTTATTATTGATCAAAATTCATCATATATCTTAAAATTATAAATAAAATTTTAGACTAACGTAGTCACATAAATATCGACAAATAATAAATTTTAATCGATAATTTAAAAAAACAAAATGAAAATATACGGTCCTGATACGCTCAACCTGCTTCGTCCTGTCTTGCTCTCGACACAAAAATTGTTTTCTAGTATCATTTATTAAATTATTTCCTTTCTATTTGTTGTGAGTATTACGCATAGGAGACGAGGACACGCTTCATGAAGATAAATACTAGTCGAGTCTGATAATCGTTGTCCTTATCCTCCACCATTCTTCCAAGAAAGCTTTGAATCTTTAATAATTGACATGAGGCCAGGTTAGGGCCAATAAGCATAAAAGGAATGTCAATAACCCATTCATTTTCAAACACGTTAATTTTGTCAGATTTTTTCATTTAACAAAATATAATTTTACTAAATCTTAACTAATATTAAAAGTATTGAATTAATATATTAAAGAGTATATTGTTGTAAACATAATAAGAGTATAAGAGAATAAAACTAAATATTAAGAGAAACTAAAAAAAGAAGAACGTATTGAAGTGTGAAGAGTTCAAGAAGGAAGGAAAATAAAAAACAAAAAAACAATGGAGAGAAAAATTTTAGGTTAAAAATAAATAATGTACAAAGAAACAAAGTATTGAGAATTGTTGTAGAAGAGATCAAATTAAAAAATTTAATATAAGATTTTATGATTTAATTATTAAATTAAAAAAATTTAATGTACAGTAATAATTTTTTTTAAAAGAGATTAAAAATTATTTGATATTCAATTTTACTAATTAAAATTTAATTCACGAATTATTTCAATTTTAGAAATTTAGTTGATATTTTCCTAAAATTCTAGGTTTCTTTTTGAAAATTAATAATTTGAAAAATGGAGGCGCACGTTAGTCTGAAATATGAAGCGCAGTTTAGCATGACCACCATCAATAATCGTGGAATCACCGAAATGATTAGGTGTTCCGTCTAATTCCCACCTCACCCAACCACCTTAGACAAAAAAGCGTACGATAGAACCAAACCGTCTTCCATGTCTCCACAGTCCACCTTAGCTTAGGCTGATCACCGCCGAAAACGAAAGCTGATAAAAAAGAAAATAAACTAAGTTTGTCCGTCGAATAACAAAAGCAAATCGCAAATTGGTGGCGCAAGCTTGTGACTCGAGGTTTCTTCGATTCTCGGATCTGAGATTAAAGCAGTAGATAAAAGAGGAAGCGTGCAATGGTGGAATGAAGAGAGTCAGAGGAACATGGCGAGAGGGAAGTGGCTTTTTTCCTACAAGAAAACCACTCTCTTAGTTTGCTTCTTCAACATTGCCGTTGCTCTCTTCGTTCTTCGCTCTCTTTATGCCTCTCTTTATATCTACTCCGGTAGCGTTTCCCGCGACGGTAAGTATCGTCATAATGGGTTTTTCCAGCTTTTCTTTTTTGCAGTAATAAAAAAAGGTTCCTGCTTGAGGTTTTGCTTTTTTTTTTTTTTTTTTTGTGCGTTTTCAGTTGTGTTGTATAACCCAGATCAGCTTCGGAAAATGGAAGAATCAATTCAAATCCGTAGGGAACTTAAACCCGTGGAGTTAATTAAGTGGGTAAGAAGTGTGAACCCTTTGTGCTGTATTTGCTTCCATTAGTCACTTGCTGAAGTTAATGTTATGGAACTCCTGTGCAAATAGGTGAAGGCTTTTGAAGGGGGGTTTTCGAGTGAAACTGTGGCGGTTGAGTTGCCCCGGCATTTGAAACAGAACATAATTGATGAGATCTTGCAGAGACTAAGGAGCTTGAATTCCAGTGGCACAGATATTGCTAAGGAACGAGGTGAATGTATGCTTGTGAATTTTTCTCATAAGAATCCTGTTCGTTCTGTAAACATTGATAAGCAGCTTGTGTATTGATATTTGATTACACTAGTTAATAGTTATTTAATATTATGCTTCCATTCAAGCTAAGCTGACATAAGATTTGATTTGCATTTTGCACTGTCATTCTTGTTGCATTAAGCCTGTGTTTTATTGCAACTCTGGCATTTGGCTTTTCAGTAATAAAATTGCGTTTTCAGCACCTTACTGATTTTTTTTTTGTTTTTGCAACCTATTGCAACTTTGCAATCGTTACTATCACAAAATTGTGCTAACTGCTGGTCTTATAGCTGTATTACACCTTTAATAGTACCTGATTAAGAGTTGGATGAAAAGAAAAGGAATTGCATTTAAGTTCTTGATATTTTCTCCTGTTAACCTAGATCTGTCCATCTATCTTTTGCAATAAATTAAATCTTTTGCTAAATTGTATTACCTCCGTTTTTATTTATAAGATCCAACTTAGAACAATAGCTTGTTCCTTTATATAAGACCCAACTCATATTATCTTGATTTGGTAAAATGCATTAATTATAAGAATGGATAAATAGGAAAGAAGGAAGGTGAATATTAATTAGAATTAGGTAATTGGGTCTTATATATAGGAAAGGAGGTAGTGATTGTTTTTTCAGACAATGCTATCCTGTACCCTTAATGCATTGGTTAAGGAATCAAAAGTAGAAAGTTTTCATTGAAAAGTGTATCTACGCATTTTCTCGTGTAACTTTATTGAAAAATTTTCAATGAAAGCTTTCCACATTTTGGGCACTGGTTAGCATTATTGTTGTTGTTTTCTTATTTATTTATTTATTTTTTTTATGATAATCAATGAGAATGACACATTCTATTATAACTTTGGATACAATAAGGAAGGAATATGACAAATGTCACATTTGATGTTTAGATGAGGAGGGGTTATTTTACACTGATGTACGACTTAACACTCTTACATCCTTCCATAACTTCTATAGAAGATGATTTTTTTTCTAATCCAACTGTTAATAACCTAGACTGAAAGTACCAAATGCTTATCATGTATTAATTAGTATGTAACTCAGAATAATAACTTAGCTGTTTTATTTTTAGTAAGAAGTCGATAGATTATAATGTACTCCCTCCGGATTTAACTAATTTTTGTGCTAATTAAGGAAGTTTTTTTAACATTATTTAATTTTGTTTATCTCAATTAAATTTTTTTCCTATAATTCCTTTTATTGGAACTTGATATTAAGAATAAAGAAAAGTCATTGAAAATAGAATTTCAATTAAATGAAGAGTGTTTTGGAGATGATATCATTAAATAAAATAAAATTAGTTAAGATTTGCTTTTATTAAAGTCCACCATTCATGATTTTTTTTTTTTGGGCTTATATTTGATCCGGAGGAAGTATTACTTAATTTGTGAAATGTTAAAAGTGGTGGAGATAGCTTGAATTTTTATTTATTTATTTTGGGCATTAAATCATTTAGACTGATGATAGACAGAGTAAATTACTTAACATTTGTTTGTAAATCTTTGAACACATTACGTCACAATATTACATCACTTAATTGTATTTCAAATATTTCATTTGTCATTCTGAATCATGGATAGATAGAGATCACCTGTTTGTCTGACATGGTGTTAAAATGTAAAGGGGGCTTACATTGTTTGTGATTGAAAATGTTTTGATTTCATTGGGTGTATAATGTTTGGTTTGTTTCTTTTCTCACTGGAGAAAGAAAGGGGGGGGGGGAGGGGGGGGGGGGGGGTGGAGGGGGACTTTCCATCTGGAATTGTTTTATACTGTTAGCAATGTGTTGGATTTAAGGTCTTGGGCCCAATCTCCAATTTAATTGTCTTTTTCAGTAAAAGAAAAAGAAGACATAGCTTGGATAAAGGAGACTTGTAAAGTAACAAAAAAAAAAAAAGACAGCTTGGATAAAGGAGACATGCATATTATCTGTTCAGGTTAAGCTGTTCCAAAATCATTGTAGTGCTGCTGATTAATATTGTATAATGTGGCCAAAGGAGTTTTTTTTTTTTTTTTTGGGGGGGGGGGGGTGTGGTGCCGGGGTTCTGAGGTAAAGGTTCATCTCAAGAATGAGGAGTCTAGTCCCCTTGTTTTATGAATTACTAAGCTACTTTATTTTAGACATTAAATTTGGTGGTGTTATTTAAATGAAAAGATTAAAGAATTTGGAAGTAATCTTATTCCGAACTTATCTATAACATAACTCATTCTGCTCATTTTGTCTATTACATTTTCAAAATACAGAAGTAGTTGACAGTTGGCGCAAGGAAAAACTGGAAAAGGTCAAATTGGCTCTCGTGAAGGGGACTTCCAACGCAACCATCCCCCATGAAGAAGCTGGTACGAACATTGATTTACTATTGTCTGTGACTGATGAGTTGATTGTGTGATACTTTAAGAAAGTGATCTTTGCAATCTGCTAATGAATTGATGGAGGACCGGTTCCCATCATGAATGCTTTACAAATCTTTGACACCTTATTCATAATGCTATTTCAACTTCCTAGGTAAGCTAGTGAGAGCTTTGGAGTCTGATTGGGCTGTGCTTTGTGAAGAGATTGGCCTCTGGATACCTGCTCAAGTTGTTAATGTAGAACATGATGACAAACCTGAGGGTGCAGAGGAGCTCGGTAATATCAGTTTCTTTAGTCATAGTATCAAAAAAAAAAAAAAATTATATTCTAATCTTTCCCTTATGCACTACATTCGATATTGATTTTGTAGAAAATTCATCATTTGAGTAGTTTCCAGGAATCAGTTAACATTGCATACATTGCATGATAGAATCTGGAAGTAGTGTGCATATATAATTTCTTGCAGAAGTTTATTCTTTGGACTTACCATGTATACATTTTCTCCAGAGGAGGAGGAGGTTCTTCCTGGCAGGCCCCTTTCACCTGAGTGCCATCCTGAACTTCACACAGATTATGATGGTGCTGCAGTAAAATGGGGTCTTACCCACCACAAAGAGAGTGCTGCTGATTGCTGTCAGGCTTGCTTAGACCATGCGAAACGTGCCAAAGAAGGTGAAAAGAAATGCAATATTTGGGTTTATTGCCCATCTGAGTTTGGATGTCATTCTCCAGATATCTACCAGCACAAACATCAGGAATGTTGGCTGAAATATGTAAGTTCTGCTCCATGATTCACTAGCCTGCTTCCTTTTTTAAGTATTTGCATGACAGCTTTTGATACCGTTATTGTCTCTGTGATCTGAGAAATTACTATGGAGTTTTCATATATGGTTTAAATACCCATTTGATCCATATAGTTTTATAGACTTTTATCTTTTAGTTGCTATATTTAAAAATATTTCACTTTAGTCTCTATACATCTCATTTTTTTTTTGTTTCCTTTTAAGCTTTTATAGTTTCGTAAATTTTATCTTTTAGTTCCTATGGACAATAGGGACACTACAAGAAAATAAAAGTTGTATGTATAAAAACTAAATAGTGTTTTTAACTAATGTAATTAAAAGATAAAATTTGTGAAATTATTGAGACCAAATAAGTATTTAAACCTTCGTATATTTTCTGGTTTGAAAATTTTCCTCTTGATGATTTATTTTTTCCTCCGCTCATGGCTAATATACTCTAATTGATAATTTGAATCCAGGCTGAGAAACCTCGACTAAATTTTAAGGATAAGTATCCTGAATCATATCGAAACTCGCATCCTTCCGCACCAGTGATCGTTCCATGGGTTTCTGGAGTTATTAGTTGATGAGTCAAATAACTAAACACCAAAGGTAACGTGATCAACCAGAGATATCTTGTAGATTACAAGAGCGCAAAGCTAGCTCAGCAAAAGCCTTTGCATGCTCGTGGATTATAGCAATGTTCTTCAACATGTTTTTTTTTTGTGTAAAAGAAATGATTGGGAGGCAAAGAATTTTCCCAATGGTCATTTAGGGACTTGGTTTTGGTCAAAATGCGATTTTTGACAGACTCACCTCAGTGCCAAGGAATTTCCACCAAGGTCGGGTCTAACACTGAGGAAAGGTGACTTTTAACTGATGAGGAAGTTGTTTTGTTGTAAAAGCTATCCGATAACATAATTCATTGTATTTGTGGGACTTAGAATCCTACTCATAGTATCATTCTTGTTCGTAATGTTGAAGATGATCATCAATCTCTGTCCGTTTCCTTCCTTTTATCCATCATAATCATACTTACATTTACACGCGTATAATAAAATGTATATGCATGTCTCGTGTAGTCACGTAGTAGTTATGTTGCCTAGTTTCTTTTGTCTTGTCGATCCACGAGACTTTCCACTTGAGATTCAAATACTAGTACAAAGCAGAATAGTAAATTAATAACTGATTACATTTTTTTTTATCCAAGGTATTTTCTAAGGAAGAAGGTTTTACTATATCACTGTGGCTAGAAATAGTCGACATGCTTAAGCCCTATATATTTCTAGCTCAGCCTAGCCTATTTCTTTATTGTTACATTCTGTTTTAGTTTGCAACTTATGCTGCTTACGCATAACTGTTCATCAGCCATTATGCTGTTCTATAGTCTTGATTAGTGTAAAACATTACCTTTTCAGTTTAAAATTTGCTAAGAATATAAACTCATGAAATAAAGGTATTTAAATGGTCAGAGACCCCTCAACTACGCAACCTAAGCATAATTATCAGGAGAATCTGCATGCTTTCAATTACGGGTGTTCTCGAGTTAGTTTGGTTTGAATGAATATTTTATATCAATCAATTAAATTTAAATTATATATACATATTAATTGTTAATCAAATAGAATATATATATATATATATATATATAGTGACGGATCCAGAAATTTTAGATAGTGGGGCAATACTTATTTATATATTTGTAGTATTAAAAATTTTATGTATAACTTTTAAAGGCATAAATATATATATCATTATTATTTTTTACAAGCTTTTATATCTAGGATTACAGTTAAAGATGAAAATAAATTAGGTTAGACTAGATTTTATTATAATTTAGTAGGTTTTAACCTAACTTTTTATAAAATTATATATCCTAAGTATCACTTATTTATCTATCATAGAAATTTTTTAAATGTTTGGATAGAACTACATTTTTAAAGACCTATTTTATAATAATTTAATATTATTAAATACATAAAAATATGTATGTTAAATTTTATAAAAATCCAGTTTAATTTATTTATGATATAAACATGTTTGTAATATCTAATATATATTTTTAGATGATAATCTATTTTAAAATATATTTTATAATAACAATTCTAATAGAACATAAATCTATTGATTTTTCTTATTTTAATTTTTTAATGAACGTACACAATTTTACTATTTTTATTTTTTTAATCAATGTATACAATAAAAAGAAAGCACAAAAAGTAAATATGTATACTGCAAATTTTATTTTATCAAAAATTAATTTTTTTTAATATATTACATTATATATGTGAGTATTAAGATATATATATATATATATATATTATAATTAAACTTTTTTAAAAAATTGATTCGTTATTAAGGAATATTCTTTATCACATAAAAGAATTAATTTCCTTTAAAAGTTTGGTAGATATCAAATAAATATACATTTTCTCAGAATTTATATTTTATTCATATGATAATTTAAACATATATTTATTTTATTAGAACATATTTTTATTTTTTAAAATATATTATTTTTTAAAATAAAAATTTATGTTTGTATCAAATAGTATTGTGGGCAAGTGCCCCTACTGTCCAAAACGTGGATCCATC